TTGAAATAAGTTACACAATTTGCACAGTGCAAATTGTGTAGCTTATTTCGAGCTAAGAGTGCTGTGTAGATGCACCTTAAGGTGCTGCAGGACTATTTGCTGTTTTTAAAACTATTTCTTTATGAAACTTATACCTAGGGCAATTAAATATAGAAGTGTGATTTGTTTCTAGCCATGGGTTTTCTACTGTAAGATCTGATTCTGGTCTCACAGAAATGAATGAGTTTTCAATGAAAGCAAATTTTGGGGAAAATACTCATGGAAATTCAAAATGTTGATGAAATTTTGACATTAAAAAGAAGGGGGAGTCAGAATTGGTTGAAAAATACACCAAAAATAATAATAAATGTCCCCCCTTCCTCATTTTTCTATTTTCAAAGTTTGATGAAAAATTGCAGCATTACATTTTGGTAAATATTGTCCAGCTCTTTCTAATGTAAAAGTAGAGCTCAGGTGGAATCAATGATGCTGTAGACCTAATGATTCTAAGATTTTTAAAAATAGGAACCTACAATTAGGCTCCTATGGCCCAGATTCTCAAAGGCACATAAGCAGCCATTGAAATTATTAGAACGTAGGCACCTAAATACCTTTGACAATCTGGGCCATAGGAGCCCCATTCTATGTTCCTATTTTTAAAAAGCCTAGAAGCATTAAGTTTACAGCATCATTGACTCCACCTGGTCAACAATCACAGTGGAAGTTTCTCCTATGGCATGCTACTGGACCAGTGGTTAACACACTCATGACATCAGTACTTCATTGGACTTACCAGAAAAAATACCTTCAAATATTCAAACCCAGTTTGACTGTGACATTGTGAGTCTGTGCAATGTCTCAGAAAAATGTAGCAACCATCCCAAAGATTAAACACAATTCAAGTTGTAAAAAATCCCACAGGTTGCCTATTATGGGGTATGTCTCCATGGCAAAAAAAGAAAAGCCATGACAGCAAGTCTCAGAACCCAGGACTTGGGTTCGTGGAATGAGACTAAAAATGGTTGGATCAACACCCTTACTTCTTCTGGAGCCCTGGCTTTGAACCCCAGGAAGAGGCGCAGGTGTGGGGAGTCTCGGAGCCCAAACACCAGCCTTATGGTGCCAACCTGAGTCAGTTGACATAGGCTATGAGATTCACTTTGATGGGCCCTTTATTGCAATATAGATGTACAGTGTACAGAAAATGCAACATGGCTTTAGAGTTCTCAGCTCTTCAGAATATTTTTCCAAAGAAGCTGATTGGTGAGAGTGGATATGTTAAGTAACTACATCTTCCATGTGTCCTCTAGATAATCTACCAGATAAAAACTCATTAGCTGTCCTCAGTATCCTAGAACTATTTGTGTGTTTCTAGTGAATGGGCATGTGATAGACAGATGATAGCAGTGGCTAGGATTTTCATCGGTCCTCAGGGAGTTCAGCATTGAATTCCTATTGAAAATCAAGGAGAGTTATGAATATTTTAGGCTTCTTCGAAAATCCCAGAATGTGTGCACATAGTATCATTCTGCTATGTTTATTTCACTGTAATATTTTGACATTAAACTGTTAATTAAATAATAACAACAAAACCCCACACCAAGTCTCTTTTGTTTCTTGTTCCTTCTAGCCACTTTGTGCCTCTTCTTTACTATATCTCGTGGTGTATTGTTTTCCCTCTGATTGTTAGTTCTTTCCTTGTTTCCCCCTTCCTCTCTTTCCTTGCACTGTGTTCTTTCTCTCTTTGTCCTATATTCATTCTCTCTTTCCTTTCTCAATATTCTCCCACACTTCAATACACAAGTGCATCAACCCTTTCTCTACGCAAATGTTCTCTTCCCCAAATCTTCTCATTATATTAACAAGTAGATACACCCCCAAATTTTTCCCTCTGTATAATCTCCTTGAAGAAGTGGGAATAGTTGACTTAATGCTGGTTTGTCTGGCTTATAAAACTATGTCTACCCTACAAGCGCTACAATGTTATAGTGCTGCAGTGTATGCAGACATTTACTACAGCAATGGAAAAATTATTCCATTGATCTAGATGCTTCTAAAGCCAGGTTAAATTGACCTAATTACATCACCCAGGGCATTAAATTTTTCAAAGATCTGCGTGAGATAGCTGAATCGACCTAAGTTTTAGGCATAGACCAAGCCTGAGCGCAGTGGCGCTGGAATTATTTTTAGGGTGAGAGTGCTGAGATGCACCTTTCTTACCTTGTCTGCACCCCTCACTGCCCCAGGCTGGATTGACACGTAGTGTTGCCAAATCTCCTAGACTGGAAGGGCTGGATGCCATTGCTGTCAATGAAGTCTGGTACATCCAGTCCAGGAGAACTGGTAACCTAGCCATAGCTGGAGGAAGCTGCGAAGCCCTGGTATGGTGGTGGGACTCCAAGTGGCAGCAGAGCCTCTGGGGCTGGAACCCAAAGATGGTGGGCTGCAGAACATTCATGTACAATGGGCGAAGGGTTCCCAAGGGTGATGAAGCTGATGGGGCCAGCGGGAACCCAGGGGGGCTGCCAAGAAGCCAGGACCTGGGGCTGGCAAAGCCGATGGTGGGTCGGCAGCAGGGACAGCCTAAGAGCACAAGGAAACAAGGTGCAAAACTTGGTTGTGCAGAAGCACTCCCGTGTCCATACTTCCCATGCCTATGCCTGAGACTCTGTTCCCCCAGTTCCCTCTAGGGAACGGAGAGGACACAGAAGCAGATGATGTTTTTCTTCCATTTCCTCTAGAGGGATGGGGAATATTCTTTCCATCTTCTCTGGTGCTTCATCTCTTTTTCTCCTTCCTTGAAGGGCAGGTCTAGTAGAGCTCTTTTTTCTTTTCTTTTCTGCACAGGCGAAAATGAAGAGGCCTCCAGAAGTTATGGACTCTTGAATGGAATTTTCAGTTGAGCTTTAATGTTGGAAATTTAAAATTTCTCACACTCTTTTTACTCCACTCTGGAGCATAAAGCCTTGGAGCATGTGATCTTTGAACTGAGGGTTTTTCTATGTGGGAAATTGCCTGAAATAGCTTTTGAGGAATAACTATTCTGCAATAGCTGCTTCTCTGACCACGCTTATTTACACTAGAAGTTCCTTTTTATAGTTTACCTTAATCCACTTCCAAGTCTGTTCTGGAAGTAGGTGAAGCCAATCGCAAAAGGCTGCTTTTTGTGCAAAATAAATGTGTCCACATGGGCAGTTAGTACTAAGTAGCTGTTGAGATTTAAGTTCATACCCTTGCTTACTTTGCTAGAATTTCCCCTATGTAGACAAGTGCTTGCATACAGATCAATAAAATTAAGGACAAGGAGAAATATTAATAAATGTCAGATTTATAAGTATGTAAAAAATGGACTGATAATTACATTTCCTTCTCATTCCAAATTTAGTGCTTCAAGTGGAGTTTTACAAAGGCTTAATCTCAAATTCACTGAAGTCGGTGACAAAGCTCCCACTAATTTTTAATGCTGCAGATTCAGAATTGTAGTCATTTTTTGTAATGGTTACTTTCTGTTATTTTAAAATTTCCTAAGTATGCCAAAAGATAAAAAGTGAGGTTAGCAACAGCAAAAAATCTAAATGTGGAAAGAAATGATCAGATTGTACTGACGTGCAGTGGTCGACAGTTATTGTGATAAGGGGTTTCCATTTTTTCCCTGAAATTTCTTAAAAGTTGTTGTAGAGAATTGTGTATTGAAGAATTAAATTGACTCTGTTGTGCTAGTTAGCTTGATTTTTAAAATTCTGTTTCTCACAGTTTATAACAAATAATTCACTGGAGGCACTCACTAATTAAAATTGTTGCAGATTGTTTTTCAAGAATATCTACAACTTGGTTTCTGTTGAGTTGTATGTTTTGATTTTTTGGGGGATGAGGGAGCAAATTTGTAGAATTTCATCTTCCAAGTTCTCCTTTATGTGTTTTGTGTACACATTGACATAAGGCTGTGTTAAGACTGGATAATTAAAATAGAAAATAATTAGAGATAATTTTTAAATGTAGCAAAGTGGACATTAGTTAAACAACTCTTTAAAAACAACAACAATTGTTGTTCTAATTTCTTGGGCATTTCATTGAATTAGTCTCCTAATTTTCTATGACATGTTCTTTGTTCAAATGTAAATGTGAGGATTGAAATATGTAAGAGTGCTGAGTACTGAACGTAAATTAACTTTCAAATATGTGATAGGGAATGTTTATAAATACAGGCATGCTCAGCAGGGGACATGATCATACATATTACCTGCAATCACATGGTAAATGCAGCGGTTATAGTAGCAGTATATGAATTTCCACCTCTTTGTCTGTGGTGGTTACATGCTAAGAAACCTTAGAGAAGGTAGGTGAGCAAGATAACATCTTTTACTAGCCCAAGTTCTGTTGGTGGAAGGACCTGACGAGCTCTGTGTTGAAGAGCTTGAAAGTTTGTACCTTCCACTAATAGGAGTTGGTCCACTAACAGATATTACCTCACCCATCCATGTCTCTTTTATATCTTGGGACCAACACAGCTACAACACTGCAAACTATAACATCTAACAGTTAAACAGCATCTCTTATTAGGAAGGACCCTGAACTACTTTAGACTCTGATATGCAAATTATATAGAGAGAATCACTTTATTCATCACTTGGAACACAGCTCCCATTAACAGCACAGTAAGATGACACCTCAGTTTAGGACAGGAAATAAAGAATACTTTATCCAGTTGAGAATTCAGGGGAAAATAGATCAGAAATCTGAAGAATAACACCTTGGACTTTTTGAGAAAGTGCGTTGGGATCTCTAATGACCACAAATTGCTATACTGTAGCTTCAGGCCTCATCTAAAAACCCAGCACCCAGATATTTTTGAGGTCTGATACTGACTAGGTTGAAACACTGATAAGCTCACAATCTTATGTGGTATGGCCATGTTCACAATCCTGATTTTATGTCCTTTCAATGGGATGATACAGTTTTCATATTATCTGAAGAGTTTGTCATTGCCTGTATTAAAAGTAACATAGTTGAATATTTTCTAGGTTACCTAACCAAACTTCTGCAAAACCACACAGTGTATGCTTGTGATGGCGACCGTTTGAGCCTACAGTGTCCTCGACATTCAACAATAAGTGTCCAGTCAGCATTTTACGGGCAAGATTCCCAAATGTGTAGTACACAGCAGCCTGAAACTACGATGAAAAATCCCTTAAACTGTGTGGCATCTACCACTTTGCAGGTATCACATATTGTATAAGGTTTTTAAAATTGAGAATGTTTTTAGATCAGATTTCAGTTTTGTGACCCATAGTCTATGAAAATGCCAAGTGTTCACAATATTAAGTGAATTCCACAAAGTTTCAACTGGAACACAAAATGACACACTTAGAAGTACTCATTTCACCAGTAGACATATCAGGTGAATAGATTGTATTATTTCTGTAGGCTTGAAAAAGATTTTCAGGGTTCCTTTTAAACTAACTTTCCTGTTTTTCTACACTTAGCCTTCCATTTTCAAAGCTCTGCAACACCCATCCTTTTAGCCAAGCAGATCTGGTTAGAATAGCCTTAATTGGTCACAAGGGCCTGACAAGTACCCCGTATTCTAGCGCTGAATATACTGAGCCAAATTCATCTTTGTTGTAAAATCCACTTAATTAGATGGCACTACACTGTGAATGAATTTGGCTCATTGCTTGTTCACCGAGAGTACGTCTAAACAGCAGGGCAGAAGTCATAGAATCATAGAATAATAGGACTGGAAGGGACCTCAAGAGCTGACTTGCATAGCTGAAGTCGAAATGGCTTAATTCAGCTTTTGGCACTGCCTACATAGCAGGAAGCCGAAGGAAGAACACTCTTCCTTTGACTTCTCTTACTCCTTGCGAAATGAGGGTTACCATGAATTGAAGTAAAAAGTCCTTCACAGCTTGACATTTTGAATAAAGGCTTGCTGTGTAAACGTGCTCTTTGTTATTTTGGAATAACGTCAATTATTCTGAAATAATGCTGCTGTGTAGACATGCCCCTAGAGTGTCAGAAAACAGGACGTGAACCTGGATCACCAGTATGGCAAGGCTGAGCAAAACCCTCTGGCCACAACAACCTACTTCATTATTACATTTGAAATGAATATCCAGGTTCACCAGTAATATCCTAAAGGTTGCTTCACGTATATAGTAGAATATGGATGACACTGCTGTTCATAAATTATTACTTGATGGCATGGGAATTTCTTTACATAAGTTGAGGAAGTCCACCCTTTGAGTACTGTGATGAAGGAAGCTCTTGACTGTAAAGAGGTCTAGAATTCCTCTGTTAGGTTATGCTTCAGCAAAGCATTGACAAGGGGAACTCAATGAGATTTAAAGATGGGTTGAAGAGCTCTACAGAACAGGGTGTTTTTGAAGAATCAAGGCCCTCAGTGCTTATTGCTATTGCTTCAAGCCAGCAGGGAATCTCCATTCCATCCATTAATAATAGTATTAAGTTATCTTGTGTAACATCCTTTTATCAGAAACAGCGTTGTGACAGAGTTTTAATAACGTGGCTTGTACATGCTGTACTGCAACTAACGTCTAAAGATATTCTATGAATGACCTTTGGGCCATGTGAAAGTACAGCTGTCCACTTAAAAAAATGTGAGGCCAAATGCATCCTTGGTGTCATTTCATTGACTTTAGTGGAGTGTCACCCATAGTTAATTTGAGTTCTTGAGTCATGAGAGTCTCTGTGAGGTTTCCATGGACAATTTTTCTTGAATACACTGGCAACTAACTGCATTGTAAAATAATATAAACTTTTACAGATATTTTCTTTTTCACTGTTCAGAACTATAGCTATAAAAGATGAATGTCTGGCTCTGTATCCCCGAAAGCTCTGAGTCTGTCAAATAGAAAAGACTCATACTGTAAACTGAATTCCTGGAAAAAACCCATGATGATCTCATTCTATCCTTCTTTGTGGAACGAAGTTTGAGATCTGCATAATCAAGCACAGTATTAGCTTACAGAGAGGAGAAAGAATAGCTGGCATTTTATACAGTAAACTCCTATGCCAGTGGTTCTCAAACTTTTTGGCCCACAGCCCACCCCGCTTAATACAGATTTTTCTGTGGACCACCAGCCCACTACTCATGTTGACAAAATGCGTGCAAGAGAGGGTGGAGTTGCAGGGTCTGGCTGTGAGGTTGGGTGCAGGAGTGGGCTGAGGGTCTGGGGTCTGGGTGGTGGAGGATAGGGTGCAGGAGCAGGTTGAAGGTGGGGAGTTTGGGTGGGAGGTTGGGTGTATGAGCAAGCTGAGGGTGAGGGTGGGGAGTTTGGCTTGGAGGTTGGGTGCAGGAGTGAGTTGAGAGTAGAGAGGTTTGGCTGGGAAGTTGGATGCAGGAATGGTCTGAGGGTGAGAGGAGCCAGGATGGAAGGGAGGATGCAGGTGCAGGGTGGGGAGGGGGTCTCAGGAGGAGGGAGGTGCGTGATGGGGATAGAGGTGTGGGGGGTCTAGCTATGAGGATGATGGGGGGTGCTTACCTGATTCCATTCCTCCTGCCACTCCTAGACACTGCCCCCCACCTGCTCCTGCACCCATGATTCTGGCCAATGGGAGCAGTGGGGAAAGCCTCCAGATGAGCAGTTTCCTGGGCTGCCTTCCTCCAGTCAGGGAGAGAGGGAGTGGCAGAGCACAGAGCAGCTTCCTTCCCCTGCAAGCCAGATCCAGCCCATAAGGCTTCCCTCTCCTCCCCCTGCAGTGGGAAGCCGGCTGTGGCACTCCAATCTTGTGGGGTCCATGGGAATGGAGCACCAATGCAAGTTCCCCTATACAGGGGGAGCAAGCCCCAAGTCAGTGGCCCACTTTCAAGATCATTGTGGATCACTACTGGTCTGTGGACCACACTTTAAGAACCACTGTATTAGTGAAAAGGATGAAGTTAATAACCTGACTGATAATACTGTCTTATTATGATAATATAAGTAACTTGATGTTTTTGCACAGCTGAGTCAGTGCAAAATGTGAGCACTCTTTGTATAAAGGGATACCATTATAAAGAGCATTACGGATTATTAGAGCCCTGCCCAGACACAAAATTTTTGTATCTGCATCCACAAAAATGAGTGGCACATTTCTACATTCACATCCTCCGAGGTGGATACCCGCAGATATAAAGTAGATATCTGCAGATTTGCAGGGCTCTGTGGATGATGGTTCAGCTCTGATGTAAATACCTGCAATGTTCATTGAACTCAATAGGAGTCAGTACACTGTCCACTTGTTCAAGAGCTAAAGTTTTCCTGATTTTATTTAACTGACTCTTTTCTGAACAATTCCAATGTAGGGGCGCCAGGGTGATAATGATTATTGATTTGACTTGAAATCCCTCTATATATTCTAGAAATGTCTGTCTGTTCATCTGTAGTCTGTTTATTCAAGAACTCTTCCTAAACCGTAAGAGCTAGGGCACCAAATTTGGGAGGCAGCTTCCTCTTCTCCTAACTCAAAGCAAAGTCAGGGTTTGGTTGCGCCAGGAAAACGGGATGTGCCTGGAATTCTATTGTTTTCTGTAACATGAAAAGGGAGGAGGAAGAGAGAGGAGGGACATGAAAGGGAGGGGCACAATGAGGAGGGACGCTATACTGAGAGTGGCCACTGGGGACAGTGAGCCCTAGGGGAGAGCTATATGCAGAGTGGCTACTGGAGGCAGCTGCATCACCAAGAAAGTGGGGAGCAGGGCTGGGGCTCCACGTCTTGCCTGTCACCAGACTGGATAAGCAGCCCACCTGCCCCAAACCTTTTCCCTGGCCCTTGGCCGCAGAGCTGGAGGGGTCGGAAAACCCCTGGCGGCCAGTGGAGGAAGAAAAAAGGCCCTGCCGGCTGGGTGGATGCAGAGGGCAAGTCCCACTGGATGGGACTCCCCACTCTGAGCCCCTCCTCACCCCCAACCTTCACTCTCGCAACCCCTCCACTCACTCTCAGCCTCCTGCTGTGTCATTTCTCCCCCCACATGCCTAAGATCTTGCCCTGACTCCTGTACCCTGCCTCAGTGCCAGCCCTCTGCTGTCTAGAATTCCTCTGTTAGGTTATGCTTCAGCAAAGCATTGACAAGGGGAACTCAATGAGATTTAAAGATGGGTTGAAGAGCTCTACAGAACAGGGTGTTTTTGAAGAATCAAGGCCCTCAGTGCTTATTGCTATTGCTTCAAGCCAGCAGGGAATCTCCATTCCATCCATTAATAATAGTATTAAGTTATCTTGTGTAACATCCTTTTATCAGAAACAGCGTTGTGACAGAGTTTTAATAACGTGGCTTGTACATGCTGTACTGCAACTAACGTCTAAAGATATTCTATGAATGACCTTTGGGCCATGTGAAAGTACAGCTGTCCACTTAAAAAAATGTGAGGCCAAATGCATCCTTGGTGTCATTTCATTGACTTTAGTGGAGTGTCACCCATAGTTAATTTGAGTTCTTGAGTCATGAGAGTCTCTGTGAGGTTTCCATGGACAATTTTTCTTGAATACACTGGCAACTAACTGCATTGTAAAATAATATAAACTTTTACAGATATTTTCTTTTTCACTGTTCAGAACTATAGCTATAAAAGATGAATGTCTGGCTCTGTATCCCCGAAAGCTCTGAGTCTGTCAAATAGAAAAGACTCATACTGTAAACTGAATTCCTGGAAAAAACCCATGATGATCTCATTCTATCCTTCTTTGTGGAACGAAGTTTGAGATCTGCATAATCAAGCACAGTATTAGCTTACAGAGAGGAGAAAGAATAGCTGGCATTTTATACAGTAAACTCCTATGCCAGTGGTTCTCAAACTTTTTGGCCCACAGCCCACCCCGCTTAATACAGATTTTTCTGTGGACCACCAGCCCACTACTCATGTTGACAAAATGCGTGCAAGAGAGGGTGGAGTTGCAGGGTCTGGCTGTGAGGTTGGGTGCAGGAGTGGGCTGAGGGTCTGGGGTCTGGGTGGTGGAGGATAGGGTGCAGGAGCAGGTTGAAGGTGGGGAGTTTGGGTGGGAGGTTGGGTGTATGAGCAAGCTGAGGGTGAGGGTGGGGAGTTTGGCTTGGAGGTTGGGTGCAGGAGTGAGTTGAGAGTAGAGAGGTTTGGCTGGGAAGTTGGATGCAGGAATGGTCTGAGGGTGAGAGGAGCCAGGATGGAAGGGAGGATGCAGGTGCAGGGTGGGGAGGGGGTCTCAGGAGGAGGGAGGTGCGTGATGGGGATAGAGGTGTGGGGGGTCTAGCTATGAGGATGATGGGGGGTGCTTACCTGATTCCATTCCTCCTGCCACTCCTAGACACTGCCCCCCACCTGCTCCTGCACCCATGATTCTGGCCAATGGGAGCAGTGGGGAAAGCCTCCAGATGAGCAGTTTCCTGGGCTGCCTTCCTCCAGTCAGGGAGAGAGGGAGTGGCAGAGCACAGAGCAGCTTCCTTCCCCTGCAAGCCAGATCCAGCCCATAAGGCTTCCCTCTCCTCCCCCTGCAGTGGGAAGCCGGCTGTGGCACTCCAATCTTGTGGGGTCCATGGGAATGGAGCACCAATGCAAGTTCCCCTATACAGGGGGAGCAAGCCCCAAGTCAGTGGCCCACTTTCAAGATCATTGTGGATCACTACTGGTCTGTGGACCACACTTTAAGAACCACTGTATTAGTGAAAAGGATGAAGTTAATAACCTGACTGATAATACTGTCTTATTATGATAATATAAGTAACTTGATGTTTTTGCACAGCTGAGTCAGTGCAAAATGTGAGCACTCTTTGTATAAAGGGATACCATTATAAAGAGCATTACGGATTATTAGAGCCCTGCCCAGACACAAAATTTTTGTATCTGCATCCACAAAAATGAGTGGCACATTTCTACATTCACATCCTCCGAGGTGGATACCCGCAGATATAAAGTAGATATCTGCAGATTTGCAGGGCTCTGTGGATGATGGTTCAGCTCTGATGTAAATACCTGCAATGTTCATTGAACTCAATAGGAGTCAGTACACTGTCCACTTGTTCAAGAGCTAAAGTTTTCCTGATTTTATTTAACTGACTCTTTTCTGAACAATTCCAATGTAGGGGCGCCAGGGTGATAATGATTATTGATTTGACTTGAAATCCCTCTATATATTCTAGAAATGTCTGTCTGTTCATCTGTAGTCTGTTTATTCAAGAACTCTTCCTAAACCGTAAGAGCTAGGGCACCAAATTTGGGAGGCAGCTTCCTCTTCTCCTAACTCAAAGCAAAGTCAGGGTTTGGTTGCGCCAGGAAAACGGGATGTGCCTGGAATTCTATTGTTTTCTGTAACATGAAAAGGGAGGAGGAAGAGAGAGGAGGGACATGAAAGGGAGGGGCACAATGAGGAGGGACGCTATACTGAGAGTGGCCACTGGGGACAGTGAGCCCTAGGGGAGAGCTATATGCAGAGTGGCTACTGGAGGCAGCTGCATCACCAAGAAAGTGGGGAGCAGGGCTGGGGCTCCACGTCTTGCCTGTCACCAGACTGGATAAGCAGCCCACCTGCCCCAAACCTTTTCCCTGGCCCTTGGCCGCAGAGCTGGAGGGGTCGGAAAACCCCTGGCGGCCAGTGGAGGAAGAAAAAAGGCCCTGCCGGCTGGGTGGATGCAGAGGGCAAGTCCCACTGGATGGGACTCCCCACTCTGAGCCCCTCCTCACCCCCAACCTTCACTCTCGCAACCCCTCCACTCACTCTCAGCCTCCTGCTGTGTCATTTCTCCCCCCACATGCCTAAGATCTTGCCCTGACTCCTGTACCCTGCCTCAGTGCCAGCCCTCTGCTCTGAAGGACCAAGGCAATGCTGGGTAAGTCTGCTAATGTTTTCAAAGAAGAACTGGGAGACCAAACTAAGTTCTCAGTCCTTTTTCCTCCTTTTTCAACAGTGTAACAGCACTGTAATGTGCTTGAGAAGTGTTAGATTTAAATCTTTTATCTCCACAAAAGAGGAGCAAAGGAGCCCAGAACTTCTTAGGATCACTCTGATGTGCTGTACTGTGCATCGTTCCTATTCTGGAGTGACTGTGTCCAAGGCTGATTCCTTATTCAGATATTGGTGTCTTGTCTGAAAGTGGAAACAAGAGTGTCAATGAGTATGATTGTTATGATTTAAACATCTAGATTAAATTCATTCCTAGTGTAAGTCCACTGAAATTAGTAGAGCTCTGCCAGTGATAAATTTAGCTCCTTCTGACTAGAAACTAGACAGTAAAGGCCAACACATTTTGCATTGGCACCTACATCTATCAGACAATAATGTCTGAAAAGCACTTGGACTGAATAAATATTGATGAACTAACTAGAATATACTCAGTATCACAATTTGATGTTTTTAAGCATAAGAAAGCATGGAGATGACTCAGAAATAATGTTTGTAGGAAGAAATTCTTTCTTTTGTTTGTTTCAAATAAACTGCCTATTAAAGTTGGCTTAACTTGGTTTAATCACAGTTACACCCAAACTGTCTTTCAGACATGATTCTGCTTGGCAGAATTGTATTAAAAGTGGGGTCAAACCGATCTTTGACGTGTTTACACTATACTTTTCTTTAAGATTTCCCATCATTGCTGCCACTGGTACAGTTCCAGCAGCAGTAGCAACAAAGTTTTAAACAAGCTTTTGGCTTGCCAGCCACCCTGTTCTCTCACTCTGCTTAGAGAAGGTCTGGTTAATGTGGTTATACATTGCAAGCCTTTTTACGCTACTCCTCTCATGCTTGCAATTACCAATTACTTAATAGAGCAGCACAGTAGGAAAAGCAGGATATTATTAGGACATTGGTGTAGATAAAGGCCTGAGGGTTTTTTTAAGAGATTTAAAGTAGTTTGATCACATCTATACTGACTAATCAGATTATGTCTGAAATGGATTTAGGCCTCTAGTGAAGAAGATATTTCAGCGTGTGCCTAACCAGAGGCAACTGCTGAGGAGGAACATAGGAGACCACCAGTCACGTCACCTGCTACCCAGCCTAGGGAAGGGCCAATACAACCCCTTTCCACTCCAGGCCCTGCGTCTCTCTGCCCATTCTGCCCTCTCCCCTTCTCTTTCCCGCCTTTGCTCTGCCCCCACACCATCTCTTCCCCCAGACTCTGAACCTGAATGATGCAGCCCAGGGGATTAGTGGGGCCAGGAGGCCATCACCAGCAGTAGGGATCTAGCCCCTCCGCACTCATAGGCAGTGGTGCGGGGAAGCAGAGTGACATGGCTGGAGAAGCAGCATGAGCTGTGGCCTTGTTGCTGTGTTTCTCCTGTTGCTGCTGCTGACTGCAGGGACCCTTGTTGTAGGCACCAGATCCCAGAGACACCAGCCCCACAGGCTGCTTGCCCCTCCCACCCATAGTGTTTGGGGGCATGTGACCCCCCCAATAGAGTTGCTCCTTTGCCTGTTTCTAAGGTCACAGGTCGTCTCCCTACTGAGTCTACTCCTGTGATTAAAAGTCCTTACGTGCTTAAGTATCTTGCTGCATTAAATCCTTAGTTTGAACTGAACTTGTATTTAAAATGATGAACTGAATCAAAACTTTCTGCCACTGGTCAAAGACCAGCACAGACATTATTTTATTCCTGTTATACATCTTTTTTTTAAATACACCTGTGATAATGTCCCAGTGCCAGTGAATAGTTTTTCTCATGTAAAGAGCAAAATATAGCTAAGAGTTTTGGTTGCTATATAGCTTTATATCTTGTTTTCAAGACTATCCTTTTTGCCCATTGTTCTAGAAAGTACTGGATGAATGCCAGAACCAGAGAGCCTGCCAACTCCTTGTCAATAGTCGGGTTTTTGGACCTGATCTATGTCCAGGAACCACTAAATACCTCCTTGTCTCCTTTAAATGCAAACCTAGTAAGTAATTTCTACAACAGGCGAATTCATTTTTGTGTGTTTCATTTGTTTTGGTTATTATGCCAGTGCAGAAAGCTTTGCATAAATCCACATGAAGTTTTCAGATTTTAAGATAAATAGCAAATTGTATTTCTACTTTTTCTGAGCATTCCATCTTGTTTGCAAAATGTACATGCTTGCTACCAATGTAACTGCTAGTATAATTTGTCAGAATCTAAGACATGATGTTAAAAAAGAAGATGGAAACGTTTATACTTTAAAGAGGAAAATTATGACATTTTTGACAAAAAGAGGTTTGTATTAAGCCTACAGATGTCAAAAGGCTAGATACCATGGTGATGAGTGTGGGAAAAAATGCCTAGATAGCTGGAAAGAAACCCTCAGAATCTTTTGAAGTTCAGCCATCACCAGCATTTGGGCTAATAGTGATTTGTTGTCAGAGGAAATGTAAGAATAAATACATGATAAACTATTTATATTTCAGTAGTACCTCAAAATGCGAGTAGGTTCTGACGAAGTTAAAGGGACAGTAATTGCCTCAAAGGGCATACACTGTACAAACATGAGAGAAAAATGGGAAGGGTAGAGAACAGGGAAACAACAATCTGACTGTTGGTTGTTTTGGTTTTTTTTTTTTTTAAGTTTTGTCTTATTAAATATAAAAGTGAATTCCAACTCCCTTGTATGCAGCCATTATTTGCTGACTAGATTTTTGTATCTTAGAAATGGGTCTTCAAGAGCATTTGCATTTTAAGAGGATTGTGACTTTGCCACTCAGGCTATGTCTAGACTACAAGCACGTTCTTTCGACAGTATATCAAAAGAACAGAGGCCTTTTTGTGCAATTGGTAATCTTCATTCTATGAGGAAGAAGCCTTTTTGCAAAAGAGCTCTTTTGCAAAAAGGTATGTGTGGATGGGGAAAAGGGAATTTTTTCGGAAGAAGAGGGAAGAGGAAAAAGCACAGGTGCCTTGGTGGCCATTCTGTCCATAGCAATCACTGCTTACATGCGAGAGAGCGTGCAGGCAGTCTGGACGCTCTTTCAAAAAAGCGCATTGCTTTTTTGATGCGCTTTTGCAGTGTGGATGCTCTTTTGCACAAGAAGTTTTTTTCGGAAGATCTCTTCCAAAAAAAGCTTCTTGCCCAAGAAGCCTGGAATCTAGACATAGCCTCAGAAAAGATATTCCATGAATAGGGAGAGTATCATTGAACACAATGGGTATTGTGGAAGGAACAAAGAAACAGGGCAACGTGACTGACATTAAGGAACAGGTGGGGATGGAGGTACAACACAACAAAATACAGGTGAAGAGAAATTGAAGTGGGGGGGGGGACTTAAAAGTCAAAGACAGGAATCTCTTGATAAGGAATCACTTACTTGGAAAAAGCACACCAACATACTAACTCCTGTCACCAATATTAATAGGTGGGCCTGTCTTTAGAAAAATAAATATATGGCTGCTTCCTTCCTCCCTAGGATTTCTGTTATATTTGTATGTATCCTGGATATTATATTTAGGTCATTGTTATTAAAAAGGTCTTTCATTTTATGGATATCAATTGATTGGGATTTTCTTTGTTTTTTTTAAGCCACTTGATAATTTTCATCCACTGTAGTGCAGATATTTTACATATATGATGGACTTTGTGATTTGACTTTTACATGAGCTACCTAAAAGTATATTTAATGGAGTTCCCTGTCTGTAGAATTACTTTAAATAATAGGTTTCAAGGTGAGTGGAAACAGTCTCTCACAACATAAGATTTATATTTCTCAATATTATATTAACAAGTTTACATAGGCCTGATTTTGGAAAATATCCCTATGTTCAGAAAATTTCTTATGCATATGAATAACTTCAAGCAAATTGTTAAGTCCCTTTGGGTATGTCTACACAGGGATAAAACACCTGTGTCTAATCCAGGTCAGCTGACTTAAGTACTAGGGCTGAAAAATTGCTGGGTAGCTGTTTGGGCTCAGGCTGAAACCTGAGCTCTGAATTGTTGCAAAAAGGGAAGGTCCTAGACTTCAGACTCCAGCTTGAGCCCAGATGTCTACACTGTACCCTCTAGCCTCTCAGCCCAACCCCTTCTAGCCTAGGTTAGCTGACCTGGGCCAATGATAGCCACGAATCTTTTATCTCTGAGTAGATGGACCCATTGACTTCACATGTGTGCAACTACTTTCCCAAATTCTTTAATTTTTAGCATGATGTAGTTTTTAGTCTCATTAGGAACGTTATTTTTTCTTTATTAATATGTTATAGATACAAGTCTTCATTATATTCTTACCATAGGCAACTGGCTTGGCTCGTCCTGTAGGAAAACAGCTTTCTTTATAGTTTGTATTGTGGTAGAATCTAGGAACCTCATAGACCAGGATCCCATTGTGCTAGGTGATGGTTGTAGACTCCCCAGGTCAGAACATTTTTTGTTTGCTTCACACAGCTTTCCTGTTGTGCAGTACCATTTGCACATCCACATAACTAAAAGTCAGTAAGCCAGTGCAAAGAATGTTGGAAGTGACTACTTTCTGTCTGCTCTTGTGTGGGGAATGGGATTATTCCCAAGGAAAACAAAGCCATTTTGTGTCCCTTGCATTTGCGATGGAATAATTAAGTTTGTCTTATGAATGGATATGAAGTTTTCCTCTCTCCAGTCTGATCTTAGTACTTTACATTAATATCCCTGATAACAAAAACGTTTCCCTTCACCCCTTTTCAGCTGTGTAAACTCCCTTTTCCTGTTTTCATGACCCATTTTGAAAGATGTTGAACAGAATGGGCTAACCTCTGCTTTCAGTCATGCCTTTGCAAACTTATTGCCTTCCTTGGAGTTAAATTGCTATGGCTGAGACCAACATTTGAAATAAAGCCATTCTTATACCACAGTATCTAGCATTATTTGGTGATTACTTCAGTTGTGTGCTGTGGCACCAAGTAATGCAGACCATCTATACCATTAATGTGTGGGCTAAGCTACTCAGCAATGAAGCAAGCATTGAAACCAGTAAAGAATGTGGCAGTATCCTATGAGGAAGAGAAATTAGACTGATTGTCATGGTGATTTTAGAAAGCAGGCCATAGAGGCTGAGCCATTGGAAGAAGAAATTGGAAAAGTTAATTCATTTAAAAAGAGGGAACAATCCAGGAGGAGTTAACTTTCCCCTCTGCTGATGGTGGAGTTCCTCTTTGTAGATATGCCACATTTCATTAATTAAGTATTAAGATTCCAACTGAGTCCAGTGGTCCATAATATATAACATTGTTGTTGGTTTCTATTTTAGCTGAACACAAAACAAAATCAGCATGTGAAAATGAAGAACTGAAACTCCACTGCAAAGAGTCAAAGTTTCTAAACATTTATTCTGCCACATATGGTAGATCAGCACATGAGAAGGATGTCTGCTCTACAGAAGTGGGCTATACCCCTCAGTTTGGTAAGTTTTATACAGACTTCTTTAAAGAACTATGGAAATTAAGAAAACAGATAGAAAAGTTGATATACAAGAGCCACTGTTCTTTAAAATCACATCTGATTCAGCTGTTAATGAGAACTTGCATTTTTAAAATGCAAAGTGTCCAGGCTGAAGAATAAAAATTAGATCAGAAGTGTAGCTGAGTTATAACGCTTGCAGTCTAAACAATGGTCCAGCAAGAGTTTTAAAAATTTTTCTGCTGATGTCTGCTGTGAATCTAATTAACTTGTAGTAAATATCTCTTTTGATTTTCCCTTTCCTTTAACCTCTGCCTGCTTTTGACAGTGGTTAGGCAGCCAGTGTGCTGTGACAGCTGCTTATCATGCTTGTCTTATCCTTGTGCTGTTCTCTAGCAGAGTCTGTCTCTTTGTCCTGTATTTGTAGAGCTCCTAGCAAAGCTGGGTCCTGGCCCATAGATAATAAGGGTCCATAGATGCTACTATAATACCAGTAAATAATAATATTTGTTTCCTTTGACTGGGAACTCTTTCAGGCAGGGACTGTACCCTTTTCAAATGTATACAAAGAAGGCAAGCTGTGGGTACTACTAAAAATAATTGATAATAACCAGTCAATAACAAACTTCGATGATGTATGGTAAGAAACAGATCATTTAAAGAGTATTACTGGAGATATCTTTTAAATTAGATAACCTTAAATGGTTGCTATGTGAGTGCTTAAGGCTAGTACAAATCACCGAATAAATGAAAGATATTCAGTGGGTGCCATTCAAGATGTTTAGTCATAATTTCACTCTGAGAACCAGCATATTATCTGTACACCCAATGAATACCTTTGAGGGGTTCATTGGCATTTAATGAATGCATAGAATTGGTGGTTGGCCCTCTACACAGAGGTGAATTTCATCCACTAATGAGAAATATGATACAACATTAACAGAGGATCAATAATTATTCTACAAAACCATTTGTCTGCAAGCCAATATTTCTGTTTAGCTTTATATATACACACTACTAACAAGTATATTAACGGAAAATTATATTTAGTGCTTATACAAAAACTCCATAAAAAGATCAATACCAATAATGCAGATAAAAGCTTGTGATTATTTTTATGCAAATGGTTTAAATCCTCTAGTGGTAAAAATTGGCAGCACATATGAGGTCATGTATGAATGGAAGATGACATTTTGCTCTTCAAAAGAGGGTCTTCCATGCTGTCTGAGATTCTGGGAGGAAAGAATTAATTAAAATAATGTCAAGAAAGCAAAAAGCCTGGGGTGCTCTGGTCTACATGCAAACTTGTACCATGTAATGAGATTGATTTCCTAAAACTGATTTTGTTCTGTCAGTGCAAATGGTAGAACAGCAATTGACTACAGTCAATGTAATTAAAAACAATAACAAAATGATTTTAGCTCAATTAATTGTTGCTATTTTTATTCCAAAATTAGAGTGCCTGCACATTGACTTGCATCACAACAATTAAATCAGTTGTAATTCACACCTGTTGTTATCGCTGTGTGAGTTTGTGCGCTAATCAGCACTAGACCTTTGAATATTATAATTACATTCTTTACCTAATAATGAAGACACAGGAACTTTTTAGTTTACATCAAGGAATAGATTACCTGAGGTGAAATGCTGGTCTTACTGAAGTCAATGGCAACACTTCAGTTGATTCCATTGGAGCCAGGATTTCACCCTGTGCAGTTGTTCAGTAATGGGACAAAGCACCAGTGGTGTTGAATTAACTGGAATCTTTTCTAGGTTTTGGTGACCTTGTAAACACATGGAGTAGAGTTGATAAGTAACTCATTACAAGAAGCAGCTTAGAATCGAGCCTGATGTATTCTACATTCTCCCTTTTTGATGAACAGTTTGGTAAAGCCAATTGACTGATTTTTAGAGACTCGATTCTAATGCAACCCAGATAAAGAACATAACTTTTAAAATTAAAAACAGAAGCAAAAAGTATACTCTCTCATACATAAATACAAGCCACAAATCCTCTAGGCCATGCTGAATGTTCTGTTATTAAATTCCCCAACCCTGAAGAATGAAAATAATATGAAAAGCTGTTCTTATCCTAAAGTCTGAGATGTGATTGTCCTGATTATTTGAGTTGAGCCCTTTTATTGATTCTGCCTTGCCTTTCCTGCTTCTTGGAACTAGCCCCACTGAGAGCCAGCTCCAAAGGCACTGCTTAAGCAGGCATGGCAGGTGGTAAAAATCTGAGGATTTGGTCCCAGTTGACTTTATGGAAATGCTCAAAGTCATGCTTAGTTTCCTATGCCTTTAACAAGGGAACATAGGAACTGCTATATTGGATCATATCAGTGGTCCTTCTAGTCCTGGTATACTGTCTCCAACATTGGCTAGCACTAATTACTTTAAAGGAAGGTGTAAGAAACCCAGCAGAAGACTATTATGGAATAAAAGGAAAAGTTTCTTGAATCCTGAGTGTTTATATATCAATATATCCCATACATCTTCAGCGGGACATCACAAGTATTGGTCTCACTCTACATTGTGAAGGTCATGGTTCCACTTGACTTCAACAGGAGCAGAGTGAAGCTAACACAGGGTGCTCTTGAAAATCCTCCCCTACCTGTGTTCCAAGAATACAGTCAGGTCAAATAAGAGGGAGGAAAGCAGTGTGTCATTTGTAATGAAAGAAGTGCTAAGGCTCAAGCGATTTTCTTACATTCATAACTGATGCAACAAGCCAGAACTGCCAAGCCTCGAGGTCTGAGGTTCAGCCCTGGCAAGCCCTAGCACAAATTAACCATTGGCAAAAAGGACAAAAACTCCAGATATATTTGTACATTTTATTAAAAAAATAAATAAAAAGAAAGATTTGTTTCAAACTCCACATTGACTGATCTACTTAACTTGGATACCCAGGGACCAGAGTTCTCTGTAAGTTGAGCACTTGCATGCCCCTTTCCCTCTCATTAATAGAGTGCCTGCAACTGCTCACAGATGGTAGTATGTGTTTCTATATCTGCACATGCCTTGGTACACATAATAAAATGTATTGTGTATGGATGGAAAATATTGGAGGGAACATTGCCAGGGATCATGGTGAGATGTATGGTGTAAAATCCAGACAGATATTTTGATTTAGAAGTGGTTGTGAATGTCTGTATCTACAGATTATATCTGTTGTATTACCATATATATCAAAACACCTGTACTAACAGAAGAAACTAAAATCCTATTTTGTGAAGGGGTGGGCAGCAAAAGTGTATAAATGGACAGAATTAAAATTATGCTGGATCAAAGAGACTTGTAAGTGAATGCCCTGAAAAGATGAAAGAGAAAATGTTGTGCCTTTGGTACTGTTCTTCCATTTTGCATACAGACTCCAGAGAACATGGGGACACTGGCTAACATGGTCACACAGCTATATTTACAAAACTGTTACTGCTAATTTCAGACCTTCTCCCATTGAAATCAGAGTCCTGTCCTGGATCTTGGGTGGAGCAATATCAGAATTTTATTTTTGTTTAGAAATAATGGCAAGTCAAAAAATATATAAGAAGAATACTTAGCCTCTGTAGGCCCAATCCCGCATTCCTGGAAACCCAACATTTTCATTGATTTCGGTAGGAGCTGTTGGGGCACAAGGAACAAGAAATAGGCCCTATATATGATGCATGTAACAGTGGGGAGGAAGGATGGTCTAATAGGTAAATGGAATGGGGGAGATGTGTATTCAGTTCCTGCCTCAGATATTCTTTCTGTGTGACCTTGGCAAATCAATAAATCTATCCTGTTCCTCAGTTCCCCATCTGTAAACTTAAGCTAATACTTCTCTATATTACAGTTGTGTTATGACAAGACAATCCATTTGTGATTGTGAGGAGATTGGATACTACGATGCATGTCACAGTGGTTCCCCCTCTAGCACTCTGGGGGCCCACAAAAAAAAAAACCTTAAATACCTTACCTCTATACGCTTCTGCTTACAAAAACTCCCCAAGTTTACAGATTCATGGCCACCATCAAGTGAATTAAAACCCTGAAAACCAGGAAGAAACACTTGAACTTCTTCTCAAGGGGGGGAACCCCAAGCTCTTTTACCCCAACAGAGCTTGAAAAAGGAAGAAGCCACAGAAAACAAACTGTAATCTCTGATAGCTGACCTCTCTGTCTAGACTGGAACACACATAGACCTCCTGTTACCTTTCAGGACACAAGAATCAAGTCATCACCTTAAAAAGGTGATTTTATTAACTATACAAAAAGATATACCTGATAAAGCATACCTAGATGTTACAGAGCAACTGAGAAAAGAACAGAGTAAAATACAAAGAAACGTTGTCTCTTTGGGCTGCAGCTTAGATATGGTGAATGGGAAAGGGAAGGCATATGAATCTCACACAGAGAAGCTTAACTAAACCACAAAACCAAGAAAATAACCTCTCAACTAAATATACATTTACCCCTACTTACTCACAATCCCCTCAAAGTCTAGTCTATTTCCATGCCCAGTATTCCTTGGAGGCATGGTAGTCCTGCCTGGATTTAAATCATCCTCTCTCTCCCCCAACTCCTGATTTAAAAAACACACACAAAATGGCAAGCAAGTAATCTTTACCATTCAAATTTCAGCACTGTACTCCATTGGTTCTTCTGGCTCCCTGCCAACACCTCCTGGCTACCTGAGTTTAGTCACCTTTAGTCACCGAGTGTTGGCCAGCACTCCTCCTTTCCATCACAGATGACATAAGTAACTAGAGAGGAAAAAAATGTCTGTACAAATGCATTTTAATGATCTTTAGCATATATATGGCAAATATATATAGAAAGTGACATGACAAATGAGAACATGAGAAGCTCAATTTAATGAGGCACAATTTTGCTTAAAAATTCATGGTGCCAGATATTTTTAAGTTACTAACTGGTCTCAGCCAATCCAGGAGTCTGTAGCAGTTTTGTTTCTGTGTACAGCATTGTATTTTCTAACCTTTATTTTTCATTCCTAGTAACATGAATGGGAACAAGATGTAATAGAGAAAATTTATTAGCTAAAGGAAAATAAGGCATTATGCCAAAGCATAGGTTACCATAGAGAGTGCAAGGAAGATTCAGGTCAACAAACACTCCTAAATTAATAAATTACTCTTATTAACACATGAAAGTACTTGAAAGAAAGGCTGTTGGATAATAGATAGCCCCTAGCTGAAATGATCAAGATACTAAATCATACTTTTACACAGACTACATCTGTTCTCCCTTATTGATCATGTGCATACATTTCTTGAAGCACTAATGTCCTTAGATATGTGTGCTCAGTTCCCACTGTGGTAAGTGGGAATTGTGTGCATGTTCCTAAGGGAAGAACATGGTCCTAAATCATTTATTCATTAATAATGGCCAAAAAGCTTGTGGCTTACATAGTAAGAAGTATGTTGTCCTCTTAGTGTGAGGGATTTATACATGTAGCCCTTTGTGCACGGAGATGAGAACATACTCTAAAGAAGTAAAAGTACAAATCACTGCAGGCAACTCGAGTACACACACCCAGTTACAATTATATACTTTTAATTTCCATAAATTATGAACAGTTAAATGCAACCAGAATCTAGGAAGTTGCTAAACATTTAAATGCCAGCAATTAAGGGATAATTCAGTGCATTAAAGGAAACTTGTAACCATTTTGCTGCAAATTCAAAAGATAAGAAAGGCCTTTTTTGTCAAGAGCTGATGTACAGAGATATGTAAAGGAAAACAATTTACAATATACAAGCCTCATTACTCCTACAAAACTCAGGAACTGTGCTACCTATTTTTGAAGGTCATCCACTGGTAATTTATCTATTAATTAATTATTTACATATATAAAGACATGGAGCACTTTTGTAGCATTTCTTATTGTGAATAAACTCAGAAAAATACTTCATTTTCAGGGCCTAGTATAAAGACTGCAGGAATTGCTGTATACCTACCAGATTGTTTCATGGATAAACTGTAGAAGGGGAAACCTGGGACCTCTGGATCTTAGTACATGAGCCTTTATACCAGGGGTGAGGAAGATGCATCCAATGGGCCGGATCAAGCCTGCAACTGCCTCAGCAAGACTCTTACCATAAAGCAGCTCATGCCGCTTTAAACAGCTGGCTGCTCTCTGCTCTGAAGACTCGAGCTGGAGCTGGAGCTTCGTGTGCTGCCCCCACCACCCAGCAAAATCTCGCAGCTCAATTTCTGGCCAATAGGTGCAGAGAAATTTTGCTAGGGGCAGGCTGTGAAGCCGCCGCCCTTTCCCCCTTCCAGAGCAGAAACACATGGAGCAGCCAGCCATTTTGACTTGCCTGGGACTGCAGCAGATAGGCAGGGAGCCTGCCTCAGGTTCCTGCAGGGATGCTGTCTGGGAGTCGCCTAGCTAAGTGCCTCCCAGCCAAAGCCTGCCTCTGGCACCTTACCCCATCTCCCCCCCCAACTTCCACCCCAGGCCACCAAACCCTCGGTAGCAGGGCTGCCAAAATTACGTACAAGATAGGGATTGTAGGTTTGTTCTTAAGTTGAATTTGTATGTAAGTCGGAACTGGTACATATTGTAGGGGAAACTCTAGCCAAACATTTCTCCAGAGCTCAGTTTTATTCTCCCACACCTCACTTCCCTCAGTCCTTTATTCTCAAGCTGAGGTGTCTGCTGAGAAAAGCCGCTCCGCATCTCCCTGGTCTGCTGGGGGGAGCGCTAGCTTCGCGTCTCCCTTGTCTGCTGGGGGGAAGCAGCTAGTGCGGGGTTGCCTCACCCCGTTTGTAAGTAGGGATCTGATGTAAGTCGGATCCATGTAACCCGGGGACTGCCTGTAGTACCAAACTTTTCACTAAAAGGTACCAAAACACACAAAAACGTACCAAATTTTAAACATCAATATATAAACCCTATAAAACATCTTAAACAGGAAAAAATACATTTAACTTACATTACATCTTACTAAAACATTGAAATGGAGGAAATACCTTATATTTTGTTAAAAGAGAACTTTTTCATCAACTGCTTCATTACTATACCATCTTTTGTTGCATTCTATCACAAAGCTCTTTTGGAAGATTCCACGTCGTGCAGTTAATGTCTTCAAGTAAAGATTTAGATCTTATTAACGCATTTAAGGTGGACATTTTCAGAGATGCGTGATTTTTAACTTTAATGTTGTTGAGTAAGGAGAAAACTCTTTCAGCAGCTGCTGAAGAATGAGGCAAAGAAAGAAGATTGATCATAAATTTTGACAACAGAGAGAAGCGATATTCATCACCGCATTTTTCTTGAGATATGTTAAACCAAAAATTCAGGCATTTTTTCAGCATTAGGAGGTTGATCTTGCATTGTCAGCTCCCTCCATTCTTTATTTATTTGTTCATAATGTTCTTCATCAACTAGGTTAGAAAATTTCATAACTAGTGGGATAATAGTGGCCTTTCCTCAATAACATTAGGGCTGGGTCCAACGCCTCAAGCAACTCCAATTTTGCAAACAATTCACAAGATAAAAAGCGCTGAAACATCTGCTTTGTAAGGCAAACATAGAAATTTAAAATTTTTACTTGAAATTCTTGCAATTCTTTCTGGGAAATTTTTGTAATGGGATTTTGTAATCCCTCTAGAATTCTTGAAGCCATAGGAATGCCATCTTCTAATGCAGCAGATGTAAAGAACAATAAAAGTGCAGGCCTTTGTTCTAAACTTCTTTTCACCACTTGCTCAAGGGAAAGCCATCTTGTGCAGCTAATGTGGAGAATTTTTTGAGGATTGGTATTTGTAAATGTTTGAAATTCTTTATATTCATTTAGGCGCTTAGGACTATCGCTCAAATATGAAAAAATATTTCTGGCTAACTCTTCTAAATAATGTGGCAGTGCAGTGCAGGCTTTAGAAGCACACAAGTGCAATGAATGGCAAACACAAGGTTGTATGAAGATATGAGGATTTTTCTGTTTTAAGAGATGCTGGACTCCTCCTTTGCTTCCCATCATAACACTAGCATTATCGCTGGCAAATCCTATTAGGTTTCCAAAGGGGATTTCATTACGGTTAATGAAATTTTAAGAGCAGTTGTGTCTTTAATTTCTAAAAGTGTTAGAAATTTGTCCACTGTTTTTTGAACTTCAGTATCATAATGTCTAGCTATCAGAACAAGTTGCTTGATAGTAGAAATGTCTGTCTCATCAATAATAAGAGAAAATTTTGTCACCTTCAACTTAGATACTAGGTTACTGAAGTCCTATTCACCGATCACATTAGAAAAAAATGTATGTTCCTTTGGTTCTAGCACACTTGATATCCTTTGCTATTTTTGAATCTGGACAAACGTTTGTAATGAGGCCAGGCAAATGATCCAAAAGGGCTATAGGTAAATTGTGTTCTGCAATAAATCCACACAGTTTAAGCTCAGCAGCTGCTATCTGTGCTGAGTGACTAGAGGATGGACCAGGTTTCATAAAGTCAGTTACTTTTGAAGTTTGTTTTGTAGATTTTAGGTTTTTTTGAAGCTTTTCTGTGTTTTCATGTCTTTCAATTTGACTTAAACTACTAGCAATTTCGCAATTGCATAATTTGCAGAAACCTTTACCTGAGTTGTATTTACTAACTACTAGCCAGCCAGAAAATTTTTCATGTATTAACAATTTTGATGGCAATTTTCTCTCATAAGAAGTGGTACACTTTTGTTTCTTTTTCTTAGGAGTGTTATCCTTATTACTATCTGAACGAATATCCATATTTTTCTCTTCACTCATAATGGGTTCACAAAAAACAACGTGAAAACACAAAATGTTCACAAAGGACTTGTCAAAGTAAGCAAACAATGCCGAGTAACTGGAATACAGCGCTAACTGCGTCACTGCAACTCAAACTGACGCCAGGGCGGCAGGGCCAGTGACGCGGCCACGTGAAGCGGAGGAATACATCACATGATTGCATCACATTACACAATACACACAGCCACAGTCTCCTCTCCCCAATCTTCATTTGCATAATAAACCGAAAAGATATTAATGAATATGTATCAGATGTAAGAAATGTTAACGTTTTAAAAATGAGCGTGGAACATAAAATTATAACTTAGAGGCTTCTGAGCAAAAATTTATAATATTAACACAAAATTCCTAAAACGTACCAAAAATATCAGGCGTCGTACCAAACGTGCAACAGGAGGTAAATAGTACCAATTTTGTAAGAACGTACCAACTTTGGCAGCCCTGCTCTGTAGTCCCTCTTCCCACCTTCTCTAGGTCCCAACACCCTCCCAGACCCTGCATCTCCTTCTACATTCCTCCCCCAGTCCAGACTCCTCTCCTGCACCCATACCCCCTCCAGGGCCCTGCACTCCAAGTCCCTGTCCTAGATCACAACTCCCTCCTTTATCCAAACTCCCTCTTAGACTCCACACCCTCTCCTGCACTCCAGTCCCTTACCCCAAGGTCCTTTCTGCACCCAACCTCCATCCAAGACCCTGCACTCCCTCCATAGAAGAGCGGCCTTTGACCACTTGACAAAATGTTGGAGTGGTCCACCTCTGCTTTATAGCCTGAGCTATGAAGCCAGTTGGCTCTTACCTAAGGCTGCAGAGCACACTCATTCTCTCTCTCTGTAAGTGGTTTAAGTGCCACTACATGGGTCAGTGAACCACCCACAGAAGGTGTGTGGGTTACACTTAGATTTCTGAACTACATGAAAATGTATTCTAGGTACCGTTATTTAAAATGAAATAAGTCCCTTTAAACATTCTGTACACTGAACTCTGCAAAGTGCAGTGGTAAGCATTTGAGAAGTCTGCAGCAAACACCACCTACTTATCACTAATGTGTTATCACCCTCCAAAGAATGGGGAACTCCACATTCTGTCCCTCATATATATGCTGGCAAATTTCTGCGTGTGAACTAGAGAGTGTGATTTGATAAAAATTTTGCTA